CGCCGTGGGTGGCGGACGTGCTGGCGGAAGCCCCGGAGGTTCTCTGAGTTCAGAGGGAAGGATGGGGGAGGGGCTGGCAATGGGGACCCCGCAGGAGGCGTGAAATCGCTGTACGGGAAGGTGCGGGGCACGCTCGTGGTCGGGTACTTACTGGGGTGTCAGGCGTCCATGTGAGGGTGTGATTAGTTCTGAAGGGAGGCTCAGCAGCGAGGCTCTCGGTGGCTCGTCTCCACAGTGCTGCCCGCGGAGTCGCGGCCTGTGCCGGCAAGTTCCGTGCTGTCCCTTGTCTGCATCTCTGGGCAGCGGGCGGGGCTTCTGGTAGAGTCACAGACAGTGAAGGCGAAGAAGAGTGACTTGATCTCTAAGATGTCACCATTCTAGGGAGAGGTGAGTGAGGGCTCAGCGGTGGCTCCCCGCGGGGACTCGCGATGTCCTCATCCGCCTGGCGTCTTGGCGCCGTGGACTTGCCTGCGGTCTTTGCTTCCTGGCCCGGTGCAGGGGAGCCTGACCTCAGCCGCTCTCGTTTGGGGTGGAATCAGAGTGCCGTGTCACCGTGTCCCCATTTTTCGTTTCTCTCGTTTCTCGTTAGGGCCAGCGAGCCCAGTAAGCAAGGCGGCAGCCTCGCGTCGCTCTCGGACGCCCCCTCCTTCAAAAGCGGACTCAGCGCCCTTCCTGGAGCCCCCTCATCGAAAGACTCGGAGAGTGAGTGCCGAAGCCCCTGCCTAGATTTGCCGACTGACCACCTGGACTTGGAATCCTGATGATCATTTTCTCCCTAATTGATTACGTAGTATATGATCCTTGTTTCTTTTTCTCAGAAAAGTACATGTGAAATCATAAGACTAGCCCGTAGTTTTACCATTCAGTGATATTTGCTGTTAATCTTGTGTTTATACTTTGGTTTCTTTTTAACGTGGTCTGCCGCTTTTCCTATGTCGTCAGAATACTTTTGGGAAATTGGCTTGTTAGCTGCCTGTCATATGATACATAGGTACTGCATAATTTTTAAACCATCTCTATTTTGTTGGACATTTAGAATGACTTGAATAGAATTTAAATTCAGTTTTTAAAAATTTGTCATAGATTCTGTGATACCACAGTAACGATCATAGGGTGTTGGACCTGACGTGTCCTCGTGTAGCAAAGACCGGGACTGTGAGGCAGGTGGCCGTGTGCTACATGGACGACCGTTTCCCACATGGTGCCGAGACCAACGACTTAGACACGTGCAGATGTGTGGATGAGCTTTGTACGATACCGTAGTAAATAGAGGGTTTAATTGGCACCATGTTTAAAGCATATATGCTTTTTCTGAGGTTTTCTAAAAAGATCTTTACCAGGAAATTGCAGAGTGACTTTGCGTGACTTTGCAGTACATCCCAGCCTTTCGTATTACATGATACAACTGTATGGTGTCCCAGGACACACAGAAGAGATGGCGTGTGGCTTCTCTTCACCATCTGGTTAACTAGCCACGTAGTTGTGAAGTACATCACAAATCAGTCTCCCTCCCGTTCTTCTTTCCCAAGGTTATTGTCACCTTCAGTAAAGGAACACAGAATGTCATGGTCATGACCATGTCACTTAACACTGAGTAGGGAAGGAAGACGTAGGACATTGAAGCTAGGCTGGAGGAAAGCCAGTGAGGGGTCGGCTGTTAAGTGAAATAGTGATTGAAATGAAACAAAATTTATTTTTCAAAGGAAAAATAAAATCAGTGAGAAGAACCATTGTCCATGAGTTCATGCCCAAGGGAGCTTCATAAGAAAGAAGGTGATATCTGATAGCTGGGCAAAAAGTTATTTTGATGGTCAGCTTCTAATAAACAATAATAACATGCGTGAGTAGAAAGGGATGTGATGCATAATACGGGCGGCGATTAATCCCCGCTCGTCATGTTCTCTTAGGTTATTATGCTTCTGTCGTAGAGAAGCTTCTGAAAAAAAATTGATGTGTTTTAGAAACTTGTAGTCTAAATGTTGATTTAATGTGACTATTTTTTCCTATTCACAGGTAAAAGGGCAAACACAGTTTTGAAAGATCTGAAGTTGGTCAATGATAAAATTGGATCACTTGGATTAGGTAACTGGATTTCCAATTTTCGTGTTGATTGCTTGAAGATTTTATATTTTAGAATAAAATCTTAAATGAAGTGACTAGGCCAGCCTACAGTGAGCCCCTCATGAGCACATGTTTGCTTGGTTTTTGTGTGTCCAGGCTCACTCCACGTGCCAGGGGTGGACCTAGTGGCAGCCACAGTAGATTCTGCTGGAAAATGGGGAGTAGGCTGACCTAAAAACCTGAGAGGCTGCCCTGGGCCAGCAACGCCTCTGCTGAGACCTGAGGGGCAAGGGAGAAGGGACGAGATTGATTCGGACTGAGCACGGTTCGTGCAAAGGCAGAGTCGCTCGGGGCTCCTGGAGGCCCTAGGGAGTTGGTCTTATGGGAGTGACAGACACGTGACAGAAGCACGAGGGTGTTGGGTGCAGTTCTGTTCTGTGGGGCAGCAGTCTGTGACCCCGAGTAGGTACGTCCATTCCTACCGGAGTCAGAGCAGCAGTGTGGACACTGCAGGGCCCTGGGCCACTCGCGGGGCGGTGGTGTCCGCCTGCATTCCCGCCCACAGAACTACTATGGCTGTGACAGGCACGCTGGGGCCCCCCTCCCTCCGTAGCTGACAGAACTGGCTCCGCTGGCTTCTCGGTGGCTGTTTCCTTCGCCCTGGGGGATGTGAGTGTGTGCCTGAAACAGCTTAGGCGCCCCCGGCCTGAGGGCTGCTCCCTGCATGAGCTCTGGGGCGCGCTCCACAGGCGGGCGGGGAGAGGGCGGCTGCGGCCCTCTGCGCTCTCAGCCCCATGACTGCTCCGAAGCATCTCTCCCTCTTCTGGAGGAACATTCTAGAGAGGGCAGGCACTTGGGTTTGGAAGTGCATGGGTCTAAGTAAGATCCCAGATGTGGCACTAACTGTTAAGCACTGGGTCAGTAAACCAAGCTGTCCCTCCTCCCCTGTCAAGTGGGACCGATGGCGTCTGCCTCGGGCTCAGAGTGATGACATCCAGATGTGTGAGCCCCCGTCCAGGCCTCGGAGGTGCCAGCTTCCTTTCTGTGCTCCCCCTGCCCTCCCGTCTGCAGCCACTCTCAGCGGAGTGGATGTCCCTGAGCTGCCAGATTCTGTTCCACAGTGACCTGGACTCGTGGTGACCGCTGCGTTGGTGGCAGCTGGCTGGCCAGCGGGGTGGGCCTGTTCGTCTCCCGCTCTTTGCCTGTCCCTGTTTTCAGCTGGACGCCCCTCCGCTCTGCCAGACGTAGGGTCTGCTTCAGGCTTTGCCCCAGTGGGTCGCCACACCCGGAGTCCTGTCCCTGACCTCCGCACGGCAGCCGGCCGGCCCGTCTGCTCTGGTTCGGTTTGTGTCCCGCCTTTGCAGCGTCCCACTGTGTCCCATTGTTCTGCAGAGCTGTGGGGCTTCTCTCTGCTCTGTTCCCACCTGAGCGAGGCGGCCCCGTCTGCTGAGGGTCCCCCCGGGTCAGGGAGGGCCTGCTGCACCTCACTGCCTGGCGGGAGCCTGGTGGACCGGGCTGGGAGTGTTGGTCGTCACATGGTGAGACTTTCCAGGTCACTGAGCCAGACGCGCGGATTCAGAATCAGTAAGCAGTTCATTCAGTTCTGTTTTCTGTTTGTTTTCATTTTCATTGTAAATATACGTTATTCTCAGTGTTTTAATAACACGTTCATGTCAGTGAAGCCCGTCACCCTAGCCGAGGGTCATAACAATGCCACTGACACTTGCCTGGCGCTGGACCAGGAAGTCGTTTTTAAATTCTTCTCCGTGAGGTCAGATGAAGAACCTTGGTTAAGCAAGGTGCCCAGAGCACGATACTTTTAATCCTGACACAGCAAGGGGCCCTAACCACTATGCTTTACTGCCTCGACGGTATTTAGTGGAAAATAAATTCTGAGTTCCAAGAGACAACTTTCGAATAAATCCTTAGCGCACAGCTTGCTCTGGTTTGCTGGACCAGCACGAGTGCCAGGCCCACGGCCGGAGACAGGCACTGTGTGTGTTTAAGGCACAGATCACCACACTTTTTCTGAAAAGGGCCAAATACACCTTTTAGTTTTGATTTTTGTTTTTTTATGATCTATGAAAATTGTAAAAGCCAATTTTTGCTTGCAAGCTGTGCAGGAACAAGTTGTTGGCTGGATTTGGCCTGTGGGCCCAGCTTGCATGTAGCTGTGGTCACAGTAATGCGAGGCGGACTGTAACGGTGCCTTCAGCACAGTGGCTCAGCGGATCTTCTGTCTTGAGTTGGCTGGAAACGCTAGGAGGCCAGTTAGCTTTCTCTGAATCCGCACGGTAGCACAGCTGCCCCCGCTGTCTTGGCTGAATTCTCCCTTCTGCTGTCCGCGTTGGAGGTCACGTGGGGACACCGAGATGGGGCCTGGAGGCCGCCTCACAGTCCCGGACGCGCCCTGCTGTGCTTCCTCACGGCACCTGCGAAGCAGCCACCCATGTTCCTCGTTTAGTCAGATGGGTGCTGCTCCTCTTGCTCTCTGTGCTCCCGACAGTTGTTGCTCTCGGCACTGTGGACCCCTTAACCCTCGAGGCCACGAGTCATCTTGGCTGCAAAAGTAGGTGGACTGAGAGGAAGCAGCCCGGGAACTGGGCGCCTGCTTGCCGCTGTCGCCGGGGCTCCTGGTTCGTGTTGGCGGGGGTGTCTGGGTGCCGCAGTGCGACACGTCCTGTGTCCTTCTTTTCCTGACACTCGGTGCCAACCATGTAGTCCATCTCTGCTGGACCTTTAGGGCACTTGCCTTCCTGCCATTATCTGTCATCCCCGCCTGGGCCTGGGCCTCCGCCCCAGTGGTTGGCTTGTCATCTCACCTGCCTCTCTCGTTCCCTCCTGCCCGCCCCCTTTGCGTTCCGGAGGACTTCCTGATCGGGACCTGCCAGCCTCCCCGCTCTGCTCTCTGTCCCCGCCCCGCCCCGCCCCAATGCGGAGTCTGCGGCCACG